ATCCGCTTGCAAGTTTGTTATTTCTAATGTAAGAATATATGACAATATGCGGGCGCCAGCGGAGCAATGCGCTTGCGTCTTTCTGGGCGCACGCAGTAGAAAACATCCCACGGTGAGAGTTGCTTTCAGTGCAATGTACACAAAAGATATGTTTGACGAATTATTATTAAAATGATTACGTATGCATGAATGCAGATGATAACAACAGTTAATCTAAATAGCTATTTACCTAATATAAAGCTTGAATTTACATTAGAGGTGATAACCGTGAAACCATGATTATTCTTCAGACTATATAAATGTACAACCAAAATCTATAATTGTTGCATCCCTCATTGTTATGCAGTTCAAAACATAACATGAATGTGTCTGAATGTAGAAGAAGCCTACTTCAGCAATGCACTGCTTCTGGGGCCTGTTTCAGAAAGCAGGTTAAGTTAAAACTCAGAGTAGTTTAACCCTGAAATGAGAGAAACTCTGGGTTTTCCGTTTTAAAATGGCAGGTTTGTTAAACTGGAGAAATCAGGGTAAGTCAAGCCTGTTTCTAAAAGAGAGTTAACTTTAACTCAGAGTCAGTTACTGTGGTAACTTACTCTGTGAACCTAACCTGGTCCGGAGCAGGTTTTATTCTCTAAACTCTGAGTTTTTGTCAGTCTCCTCCCCTTTTTTAAAGATGAAGCTGTATTTCTCGCATTAGTCTTACATTTCCACACACCTATTTTAGAGCTCATTTTGGAGATGTGCATAAAAAAGATTGATGGAAACGTCATGATTCACATAACTTTTGACAATACGCATAATAAAACATGTGCATAACTGAGTAGGTTAAACTTTTATTTGATAAGAAAAGATGCGCAAGAACTACGAAGGAAACACTTAACAAATTACAGTATGTACATTAAAAAATGGTTTGTTAGAGATGATGATGATGATGAAAATGTGTGTAAAAGGACAAACCAGAAGACTGAGCACACTGCAGCACATCTTAAATGTTGTTTTGGTCATTCTAAAATGCCTTAACTGTTTCAGTATTAGTGTATATTATTAATTACCTCCGAGCGTCTGGAGTGTGTCAAGATCTCCGCGTCTGGCTTCAAACGCCCCCACGTGTTCATTGTGTGTCAATTGTCTTCTGAGGCGAAAGTACATTAATTAAATAAAAAATCATTGATGCAGCTTCTTCTACCGCAGTAATTCTGTTTTTACTGTTGATATTTGGCGCAAGTTAATCAGGAAGTGACGTTTGTGTTCTCTTCGACTCTTTGGATAAAAACGCTGCTTTATTTTTAGGCGTTATTCGAGTTTTGCACAAATTAATGTAATAGCCTATATTTTGATGGAAACACAGCTATTGCCTACATTTTTGTCACACACAGAACAAAGTCACGTACGAGGCTTGTCCTTTTTTTTCATAAATAATTAACTTTCGACATGTACTGTTACTAGAATAATGGGATTATTAATCTGTCTAAATTATTTTATTACTGCTTACCTTCTTAATGTTATATCAACCTCTATCACTTGATCAATATAAGGCAGACACACAAGTGCACTGCTAAATCTATTAAAACTGATAAACGTGTATAAAAGTTTAGAAAAAAGTATAAACGTCACACATTACATTACTTATTTTATTATACTTACATTACTTATTTTATTATACTTTTATTATACTTAAAATTAAAAATTCTGCATTAACTTGGGCAGCTGTTTTCCCACGCTGTCTCTGTTTCACTGATGGCTGCTTCTTTTTAAATATATACACTCATATTTGCTATAACTTTGCATGAGCAGATCAAGTTCAGCTGGAGAAAGAAATGCTGATCTCTTTTTTTAAGATGTTGCCATAGTCACTCGTAATATCTGCGCTCCATTGATAATGCCTTTTTATAGTCACGGTGTGCGCGCTTAACTCTGAGTTGGTCTACTCAAAGTTGATTGACCCAACTCAGATCAGCTGTTCTGAAACCGAAAACTCTGAGTTTTTAATCTCTCGGTAAATCAACTCAGAGTTCAAGTTTAAACTCAGAGTTGTTTGAACCTCCTTACTGAAACGCCTCTGTTGTGCTCTGAAATACAACATTTAAATGTTTGTAAAAACAAAAAAAGTCTATTGTACAATGCACTGATATTATGTAGTTTCAGTATACAATATATTAACATTTTAATGTAGAAAAAGCCATTAAGGGGGTCTTATGGAGCAAAAATATACAGCATATGGGCTCTTATATGCTGTTGTATCATCACTCATATAGATTCATTTGTCTCCGGCCCTTCATTTGGGATGCTTTTCATGAACCAGCCCCAATGACAAATTAATTGAATAGCCCTGGTCTATAGTTTAGAACATGGATTCTCAACCGGTGGGTGACCACTAGCGGGCCTCAGGGATCCTGCATGTGGGCCGCAAGAATTCAGAATCTAATTTATTTAGCAACTCCATTATTTTGCTGTTTTGTTTAATTAGTTAATTCATTCATCTTCATTAATTTTAGACATGGCATATACTGTATGTTGTACAATAACAGAATGTGAAAAGTAACTTGCCTGAAAGGTGTTTTTAAACTAAATATTTCAATATTTAATATTTCAAGAGTATTCAATGGAATTTATTGAAACTACATTATTTCATTTATCAGAAACAAAAATATAACAGCATTACTCATCATAGACAATATGTACACAATTCATTATTGTTTTGTGTGCCACCGCAAGATTTGGTGTGGCCTTACTTGGCCACCTTTTAGAACATTTTCTGAGGGCGCCACTGATCATCCAGCAATGACACATGAAGATTTATGAGTGAGTAACTGAATCATTCATTGCGGATGAGAGTAGAATAAATATGGGTTGCACAAATGATGATGTTAGATTTCTACATTTAGCTGTATTAGCAACAGTAGGAGTAACAGTGAGTTTCTCACAGCACTGAATATTTTAGTTGATTTTTATTCAGCTGATCATTTCTTCACTCTATTTGTAATAAAATTACAGCTTCTCAATTCTGTTTGTTAATACCAAAAGTGTCTTGCAGTGCTGTTTCTGTAATGGAAAGTAGATGACTTTTGTCTCCTCCCCTTTCTGGCTGATTTGAAAAACGGTCCAATCCATGACTAAAACAACAAAATGAGAGATCTGTGATCCGTCACACCACTATGTAAAACACAGCTATCACACATCAAAATCTTTAATTCACTCATTCGAATCACACTGAAATAAATGCTTTAAACTAGTAAAATAGGGAGTTAAATTATACATAAAATTCCTATAATATAAATAATACAACTATTTAAAAACTAATTAATTTCACAGCAGGGCCAGTACTTTAGTCTTTAACTATATATTACTACACTGAACACAACACATGATGGCCAGTATTATTAGAGCACTAGCCTAATTGTCTTTAAGTCAGTTATTTCTGTCTCAGTTTACATGTTTTAGTTCAGTTTGGCTGATTAACTTAGTAATTAATCATTAAATTGCACACACACACACACTCAACACGATGGCCAGTTTAGTTCCCCTATAGCGCATGTGTTTGGACTGTGGGGGAAACCGAAGCACCCGGAGGAAACCCACACCAACACAGGGAGAACATGCAAACTCCACACAGAAACACCAACTGACCCAGCTGAGACTCAAACCACAGACCTTCTTGCTGTGAGGCTACAGTGTGACACCACTGAGCCACCGTGAAGCCCATTATAGAAACATTTCATATTAATTAATGCTTTCAAATGATTAATATTCATTTTATGATTTACAAAATATGTATGTGCCTAATGTGTATATTTTGTGTAATATACACATAAGCTTGCCTATATTATATTAAAAAGATTGCATTTACATATAAATATTTATATATAGTAGACATTAAATTTCTTTTGATTATTTATTAATTTTATTTTTGGCTTTATTAATTTCCCTTTATTAATCTGGAGTCGCCACAGCGGAATGAACTGCCAACTATTCCAGCACATGTTTTACGCAGTGGAAGCCCTTCTAGGTGCAACCTGTCACTAGGAAACACCCATACACACACACACACACACACACACACACACACACACACACACACACACACACACACTATATGGTCAATTTTAGATTACCCAATTACCCTGTAGCACATGTATTTGGACTGTGGGGGAAACCGGATCATTATATGTGCAGTGTGTGAGTGTGTGTGTGTGTGTGTGTGTATTTATACAGATATTTACACAAAAATGAATTGTGATTAATCATTTGAAAGCAATAATATTAATAATTATGATTTAACTGTAATAGTAACTTCAAGAACAGCAGAAATTGTAATATATCTTATAATTACTTTGTTTTATTTTGATAATTTATTGTTATTTGACGTTTCCTTCATAAAACTGTATATACAGAATATTTACACAATGGGAAGTAATTTATCTGAGGCGGACAGGAACCTTCCCTAAGGATTATAACTTGAAGACCAGTTTAAATGTCTTTTAAAACACTATTATCAAACAGGATTGGGTTAGCTGACCAAGTTAACTTACTATTTTACACACACAAACCAAAAAACTGCACAAAAGATTACAGAAATGACCAAATTCACAACTCACCGCTGTCGTTTTCCCTCCAATACTGTGATGTCATTTCCGGGAGGAGGACGCCGCGAGGATATAAACAAAAGCACTAGATAGGGACTTAAAAGAATAAAGTGGACTTATAAAGTTAAAATCAATTAAATGTGAGTTTTGTTAGATAAATTGTGATAAGAGGACGAAAAAAAATTAAAAACTTCATAATAAACTCTTATAACGTTAAAAGTAAGCACGGCTCCTCAAAACGTGAATAAAAAAGAACTATTTACAAATTAATAAGCGCTTTGAAATATAAAAGGCGCCGTGATTCTCCACATTACCATCAGATGCGCTAATAAACTGCAGGAACAGCTGTTTGTTGTATCTGATGAGCGCGGTGAGACACCGCTGAGTTTAGGAACGCCGCGCTATTGGTCCAGCGGGAAACAGCATGAGCGGGAGCGGTTACAGAGAGTGACGTCACGTGGTCACAGAGCGCGCCGGAGCAGTTGGTTCAGGAGACTGATTTCGGTTGGGAATCACGAGTTTACCGACAAACACCGGACAGAAAATGACGGAGACAGAGTGAGGTGAGTGACTGACGGCTCAATGCGGGGTTTTAGTGTGCTGAAAACACGCCTGACAGACTCCACGAGCCTGGGCTGCAGGGTGACTAGTGCTAGTTAGCGACTAAACTAACTGCAAGTTGAGTGCTCTGTGTGTGCGAGTCCTCTGCCATGACCACTGTTTGTCTCTTAGTTTAGCTTTAAACATCTTCCAGTCCGCGTTTCATGAAGAGCTTGTGTGCTGGTGTGTTTGTAACGTTCAGAAACAGCAGTGATCGCCATGTTGACCGTTCAACAGCCGCTTACCAGCGTGTGTAAACTCGTCGCGTTCGCTAACAGTATCGATGTTATGGTGTGGGAAGATGGATGGAATTATTACATCTAGTGTTGTCTGTGTGGCAGTGCATATTTTAGTATGTAGCTTTACTTTGTTGTGTTTCATTTCTTTGCGCAAACAAAACATGTTCATAACAATGACTGTTGCGGACAGGTTTTCTGAATTCTCGCCGGCCATTGGTCAGCTACACTTGAAGCCCCGCCCACATCCCGCGCCATTGGTTTAATTTAATGTGAAATTGACGCCATTTTCTAAAATCGCATTGTTCTGTTTTAGTGTGAGTGTGTTTATGTGCAGATGAAGCAGCACAGTTGTGTTTTTATTCATCCAGTAATTAATAAAATGGTTGATTGCGGATTAGTACAGCAAATGCGTTTGATTATGAGGAAGTCTGTGTGTTTGCAAGAGCATTACTGATGATGTTTACTGATATATTTTAACTGCTGCTACACAACACACAGATCTATGATTACGTCACGCTCCGTTCTGGAGCAACATGAGTTCAGTAGCTTTTTAATGCAAATGCTAGTCTTCTAGGGGTCAACCAATTTCAAGACGGACTTTTTTCACTGCGTTAAAAGGATATTCACAATAAAATGAACATGTCCTCATCATTTACTTGCGAAAGTGGTTCTAAGCTGTTATGAGTTCTGCTAAGCACAAAACAAAATATGCTGAAGACTGCTGTAGGGCTGGGCCATATGGGCAAAATATCATATCCCTGTATTTTTAGGTGGAATGATGGTATACGAAATATATCTGGCATTTTCCTATAAACGGTTACGTGTGAGTTAAAGCCTTGTTAAAAATGTATTAAACATTTTTTGAGCAAAATATAATTCAAACACAGGGGTTTTCCTCCCTGTTCACAAATAAACAGCTGCACAAAAATAACAGCGGTACAAAATCTTTAATAAATAAATACAGTTCAGGTTTTTCCTCCTGCTTAACACTGCAAATAACAAAGTAAACAGAACCATAGAAAACATAACTACATTGTCAGAGCGAAAAAGGAGCACACTTAAATAGTACCACAACAAACAGTATTTCAGGATAGAAAATAATTAAATCAGCTGTATATGTTTTTTAGTTACACATGTATTTATTGTGCACAATTATTAAACAGTGCACATGTCGAAGATATCTAAAGATAAGTCTTTAACTCCATGTAAAAAAATCCTACACTTTTTCTTTTACTAAACTTGTGTTTGACTAAATATTTAATACGGAGATGAAAACGAAAAAACTATGGATTTGAGAAATAGTGTAATAGTTTGAGAGTGCTGTGATGAAATGCTGGTTAAGCATGTAAATGCAAACAGTCATTATAACAGAGCAGAATGCAGAACTAAATGTGTGTGAATGTAAATATAAAGAAGAGACCGTCGTGTAATAAATACTGAACGTATAATCAGTGAATGTGAGGTGGTGTCACTTTCGAAATGTGCTATAAATTCCTCCTGTTTTGGCGTTTTTTATTCTTTTGAACACACTCAGGTGCTGCTTGTCAATTTGACAAGGCTTCTACGTTCGTTCTTGCTGTTAATTAGGGAAGAAATGATGGATAAAAGGTTTCTGATAAACCGATGTGACAGCTGCAGGCGCAGTGTGACATACGTGCTCGCAAGGCGGAGTCAGATGCATTCATTTTGAACTAATCTTTTGTTTGACTCATGGAGTGAATCGTTTATTTGCGCATGCGCACATTTGTGCTAGTGGAGCTCAAGTGCAGCCTTGGAGTGGTCTGTTTTGAGCAGAATGCGCATGTGTGGCCTCAAACCATACCAATATGAATCATATTGGATATTACCTTACATTACATTATTATGATAATTAGAATTAGAGCTGGGCGATATGGCAAAAAAAATTGTCACGATAATTTTTTTCATATCAGTCGATATCGATATTTATCACGATAAATGTTAAATCTTTATATCTATCAATTATATAAGATTTTCAGCATGCCAATGGCTTTGTGCAGCTGATTTAACACATTTAGTGAAATGTTTTAGCTGTCTGACAATATAAATAATAAAATAATAAACAAAAGAACAATTTTAATTCAACATTTACTTGTTCAAGTTTTCAACAACCAAAGACATTACCTACAAGTAGGGTTGTAACAATATACCGGTATGACGGTCTACCACGATTTGAACGTGCACGATTATCATACCATGAACAATTGCATATCAACAGTTTTAACCCTTAAAGACCGAGACAGCCGCCCGCGGCTAAAATTAAGTATTGCTCTTAAATGTTTAATAACTTTTGATCCGCTGATCCGATTCATACAATTCAAAGATTGGCATAAAGAAGAGAATCTCAGCTTTCCAGTGCTGTATCACATAACATTCGCAGACTTTCAGAGGCTCCGGAATCAGTGCGGTTACGTCATCAACATTTGACAACGCTGATTTGACAAAGAAACGCTCGTCACTGTGTCTCCGGACAAACCAGACATGATACATTGATGCATTGTCCCTCCTCCATGCCCAGATTGGTTCAAACTCGCTATATCATAACCAATAAGCATAGGTTTCGCTTTTGTTTGTGGACCAACAATGAGCTTTTTGAACAACACGGAATGAGAGATAGGCATACATTTATGCGCGGCTAAATAAAACGCAAAAAAAAGTTTTGCATGAAATAATTCTCATACTAAGTACTTTTGCATGCACAGCAGCACAGAAACATGACAAAACAGTGACACAGCAAAGACGAACTGCTGCTCTTGCTGTTTCCAAAAGACGCAAATGAAGATGCAGCTGTTTGTCTGCATTGCAGACAACCACATCCAAATCCATATCCACAGACAACCATATCCATGCTGGCACATAAAACCTAAGGATGTTCCATATTGAATCTAGTTTCGTTATGTAACTATTTATAGTATAGTAAATATTTATATCTATTTTTTACTGAGGATTTGCACCATATTTATTTGGACTTTATTTGGACTTTGACACATTATTTATTATTTTCTTATTTTTTTATTTGTTCATTGTAAGTGGTGTTGTTTATAGTAACTGAAAATATATTATTTGGAAAAAGTCAAATTTGCTTCACTGTTCTATTATTTTGTAACATACCGTATACCGCGAAACCGTCAAACCGTGGTATTGTTTTAGACGATTATCATACCGTAAAAAATTCATACCGTTACAACCCTACCTACAAGTCATTGGATATTATTGTTCATCATCAGAAAAAAATAAAAAAACGATTTGGAACAATGTGAGTTAATAGTCACAGAATTTTCAGTTTTGGGTGAACTCTCCTTTTAATGGTAAATATGGTGAATTTAGTGTGAAATATACTTTAATGTATTTTATTTAGGGATGCTAATGATTACTTGATCTATTGATTGTCGATAATGCTTTAATTGATAGACCTTATCGATGACTGATTAAGCATGAACATGTAAAGGTTTAGTTCTGTTTGCGCTGTGAGACGCATCCACGCATTACATCAAGTGTGTGCAGTTTACCTTACTTATGCTGTCACTTGAAATCCCATATTGCGGGTCGCATAAAACCTTGTTATGCGCATATCTCCGATATATCCGCCCGTGTTTTAACCAAATTTATCTGACAGAGTAGCACGAATAGGTCTAAGCAGACTCTCAATTTACAAATCGCGCATCACAACGAAAACATGCGGGGAGCCTCTTCATTTACACAGCCAGCTTCTGAGCTCCATCCAAGTTTATTCTTTCGAGGTAACCCAAGAAATCTATCAGTGCTGCGAAAAGACTGTCCAGTTCATGCTGCTCAGACCGCGCTTAATTAATAAATTAAAATGAAACCGTGAAAATAGTTTAATGGATTGTTTTGGCGCCAAAGCATATAGCGGGCTTGTGTTAAAGCGCTTCACCTCAGATGTTATTCATTCCTCTTGTTTATGCTGTAGATATCTGACCAACAAAATATACATCAAAATTAAGCTACACATTATACAAAATGAAATTCGTTACTAAAAGACACATTTTCAAGGAAATACGTTTATTTTTATTTAGTTCGTGTCTGCCTTAAACAACTGCGGGTGGATGATGCTTCGCTCCGTGGAAAAAAAAGCTGTTGCTGTTGTAAACGTCTGTCATATATTTGCTGCATTTTTAATATGTCATTATTTTAAAGATTATGTCTTCAGCATCTGATTTCTCCTCTGTGATTATGTGCTTTAAATATATAAAGGCTGGTTCTTTTACCGTCGATGAGAGACAATATTACAGATTTCAAAACACATTTTATTATTAAAAAGGAAACAGCTTGACATCAAAAGATCTTATTATTGTCTTAACAGATACCCTTAAATGATGCAGGCTGTAGTTTACAGCAAGCATCATGTGTTCACTGAGATGTGATAGAGATTGTGTCCTCTGTCATGTCTTTCGTCTGTCTTTTCATGTTTTTTTTTTTTCTCGTGGCACGGCTTTAGAAAACGATGACATGAGACTCTGCTGGGTAGCTGCGCTGATTTGCCAACACTTGTTTATGTCTGTAATTTCTTAGCATCTTTATAAGGGTGGTCTTGTTTTACATGGTGAAACAGGTCGTGGTGTTGCCTGCTCTTGATAACACGAGTCGTCTAAGCAGTTTGCAGTGCATGTTGCTCTGTTTTGTGTCGGATAGGGAAAAACTAAGTAGCTCATGAAGTCTAGTGACGTTTCTTGTCAACAATGTCTGTGACTCTGACCTTTTTTACCTTATTTCTTTCTTACTCCTTTCAGTGCAACTAACACTGTATGGGTGTAAACTTGTACAGCGTGCAGCAGTCGGAAGGGCAGGCTGCAAAATGCTTGTGCAACGTTACGCATAGTGCGTAAATATTATCGAGCAATTATCGAACTGTCATTATCGTTTTATTGAAAAATTTTATATCGTGATAATTATCGACATCGAATTATCGCCCAGCCCTAATTAGAATCATATCGATATATATCCCCAGTACCTGATATATCGCCCAGCCCTAGACTGCTGCAAACAGAAGACATTGACATCCAAAGTACATTCTCAGAAATAAAAGTATGTGAGCTGTCACTGAGGTGGTACCTTTTCATAAGGAACACATTTGTACTTGAAGGGTCCATATTGGTACCTCAAAAGTGTAAATTAGTACCTACAAATGTTAAGAGGAACACTTTTTTACTTTTTAGGTACTAATATGTACTCTTGAGGTATTAATATGGACCTTTTAAGTACAAATTTGTACCTTTTGAAAAGGAACCACCCCAGTGACAGCTCAGGTACCTTTATTTCTTAAAGTGCAGGAACAATAAACACTGTCTGTCTCTCCAGCATTCTTCAGAATATCTTCCTTTGTGTTCAGCAGAAGACAGAAACTCACACAGGTTTGAAACAGGATGAGTATGAGATTAGATTTCTGTGTGTGCTGTCCATTTAATTAAATTATTGAAAATTCCAGAATTATTGAGATGAATTGACTCTTGTGAGTTGTCTCTTTGCACCTTTAAATAACAAATTGAAAACAATCTCAGCAAGCTGGCATAAACACACAATGCCCTATAGTATGTAACACACACACAGCATAGAAAACAAACTTTAGATGTTGTTGGCGCATGCTGTTTATAAACTACAGCAGTAGTGGAAGTAGAGAAACGCTGTACAGCCATAATACACACACACACACACACACACACACACACACACACACACACACACACACTCACACACGCACACACACAAATGAGTGTCTCACTCTGGCCAGGTTGGAAGTGTCTGAAATGCATGTGTGTTTAAGATGGTGATCTGCATTTGATTGTTTGTCTCCACTTGGGACTATTAAACGCATTACAGTAATTAGATTAAACAACCGCAGTTAGACAGGTATTTAATTATTGCCACAG